TACAACAAGCTCACTGACTTGTGCTCTTTATCACTGCACAGTATATATTTATTAATAGTACTTATCACAATATGTAATTATCTTGCTTATTTGTTTGCCTCTTTTACACCTGTCTTTACCCACCTGAATGGAAGGGTCATGTTGGCGGATGTTGTGCCTGTTTTGACTCAGTACCAGGCCCAATGCTCAATGAACATTTGCTGAATGAATGATACATGCCACGTGAGTTAGTGTGGAATTTTGTGGTCTGCTTTGAGTGTATGTTAAATCCTGGTTCCGAATAAGAGCCTTTGGGGAGGGCAGGCATAGTGGTGCATGGATGTAATCCCAGCTACTCAAGAGGTGGAGATAGGAGGATCATGGTTAGAGGCCATCTTGGGCAAAAGTTAGTGAGAACCTCTCTCAAACACTGACAACAAAACACAACTGGGCATAGTGGTGAATGTCCGTAGCTGTAGCTACTCTGTAGGCAGAGGTAGAAGGATTACAGTTCCAGGTTAGCTAGGCAAAAATGAGAGACCCTAAGAGTGTAACTGAAAAATGAACTACAAGCAAAAAGGATTGGAGGGTGTGGCTCAAGTGGTAGAGGGTTTATCCAGCAAGTGTGCGGCCCTGAGTTCAATCCTTAATACCATCAAAAAGTTAAAAAAAAAGTTTTTTGGGGGTTATCTCCTTTGTTGATAGACAGTAACACATAGGGTTGTTTAGCTATTTAGTTACCTTGACTCCAGACACATTAAACCAACCAAGTCTTCTAGAGCATATGAAACTGGGCAGCTTATCTTGAGTGGACCTAGATTTTCTAGATCATTCTGGACTACGATGCACTGTCTTCCAGAGCTTGTGGTTTATAGTAGTTTCTGGCCACAGGCAAATATTGAACTCTTGAAAGGTGGCTAGCATGATGTGCGAGGTGCTGTGAGTACAAAATACATATCAGACTTGGAAGATTTAGTAAGAATATAGAATAGATTTTTAAGAATATAAAATCGATCATTAGTAGTTTTACATTATTTGCTTATTGATATGATAATAATTTGGACACAATGGGAAAAATAAATTACATTATTGAAATTTACCTTTTAAAGTTTTTTTCAGTAGGAGGACTGAAGTGTGGCTCAGGTGCTTTTCCAGTACAATCTCAATTTCTAATTTTGAAGTCCAGATACAGAAACTTTAAATGTAACATATCTTCTTTCAAAGCAATGCAGGACTGGTCTTTTGATTATGTGGGGTCATTTAATTACTTATAGAAGTACCCACTAATAAAAATATATCTTACTTTTCAAGTTACATACTAGAAAAATTAAAAAATTTGATAAGCTATATGTCTTCTAAAAAGTCAAGTAATGAAGAAATTATACTTTAGTCTTTAGAAGGTTAAAAAATGGAAAAATCATAGAGTATACTTTGATAAATTAAAAAAACAGAAACTCTCTTTCTGTCCGTGGACCCGGCGGAGGAAGCATCGCTTAAGCCTCTCTTCCCACTGCCGTTATGTCTAAGTCGGAGTCTCCTAAACAGCCCGAGCAACTGCGGAAGCTCTTCATCGGAGGGCTGAGCTTTGAAACGACCGATTAGAGTCTGAGGAGCTATTGTGAGCAATGGGGAACGCTCACTGACTGTGTGTTAATGAGAGATCCAAACACCAAGCACTTTGGATTTGTCACTTATGCCACTGTGGAGGAGGTGGATGCGGCTATGAATGCAAGGCTACATAAGGTGGATGGAAGAGCTGTGGAACCAAAAGAGCTGTCTCAGAGAACATTCTCAAAGACCGGGTGCCCACTTAACTGTGAAAAAGATCTTTGTTGGTGGCATTAAAGAAGACACTGAAGAACATCACCTGAGAGATTATTTTGAACAGTATGGAAAAATCGAAGTGATAGAAATCATGACAGACGGAGGCAGTGGAAAGAAAAGGGGCTTTGCTTTTGTCACCTTTGATGACCATGACTCTGCGGATACGATCGTCATTCAGAAATACCGTACTGTGAATGGCCACAGCTGCGAAGTAAGGAAAGCCCTGTCGAAACAAGAGATGGCTAGTGCTTCATCTAGCCAAAGAGGTCGAAGTGGTTCTGGAAACTTTGGTGGTGGTCGTGGAGGTGGAGTTGGTGGCAATGACAATTTTGGTCGGGGAGGAAACTTCAGTGGTCGAGGTGGCTTTGGTGGTAGCCGTGGTGGTGGTGGTGGATATGGTGGCAGTGGGGATGGCTGCAATGGATTTGGTAAGGATGGTGGTTATGGAGGAGGTGGCCCTGGTTACTCTGGAGGAAGCAGAGGCTATGGAAGTGGTGGACAGGGTTATGGAAATCAGGGCAGTGGCTATGGCGGGAGTGGCAGCTATGACAGCTATAACAATGGAAGTGGAAGCAATTTTGGAGGTGGTGGAAGCTACAATGACTTTGGCAATTACAACAATCAATCTTCAACTTTTGGACCCATGAAGGGAAGAAACTTTGGAGACTGAAGCTCTGGCCCTTATGATGGTGGAGGCCAATACTTTGCTAATCCACGAAACCAAGGTGGCTATGGTGGTTCCAGCAGCAGTAGTAGCTATGGCAGTGGCAGAAAGTTTTAATCGACAGGAAACAAAGCTTAGCAGGAGAAGAGAGCCAGAGAGGTGACAGGGAAGCTAGAGGTTACAACAGATTTGTGAACTCAGCCAAGCACAGTGGTGGCAGGGCCTAGCTGCTACAAAGAAGACATGTTTCAGACAATATTCATGTGTGTGGGCAAAAATCTCTAGGACTGTATTTGTGACTAATTGTATAACAGGTTATTTTAGTTTCTGTTCTGTGGAAAGTGTAAAGCATTCCAACAAATGGTTTGATGTAAACTTTTTTTTTGCACCCATGCTGTTGATTGATAAATGTAATAGTCTGATCATGATGCTGAATAAATATGTCTTTAAAAAAAACCCAAAAAACCAGAAACTCCTGTAATTGTTGCCACAACGTTGTAATAGAGCATGAAGCTGGAATGACATTTACTTAGCATAGGAGCATTCATTGCAGAGCAAAATTTAAGCAAAAAGTCAGATATGAAATGAAAGCTACTTGTAAGTAAATACAAATCTAATAACTATTCTTTGCATAGCTATAAAAACTCACTCAGAGACCATGTACTGCATTTCAGAAAATTGGTTGCCATGTCTAATTTCAAAAGCCCTCATTACTGGCACATTAGGTAGAGTTCTGTTAGGTACAGTAATGAATGACCTTCTGGTTCATTAATTAATTTAGCAAATATTTAGTGAGAACCTACTCTATGTCAGGTAGTGTTCTTGATGCTCAAGATACTATAGTGATCAAAGTAGAGAAAGAATTTTGCTCTTTGTAGCTCACATTCCAGTACTTGGGTACTGCTATGGTTTGTATATGGTTTGTTCCCCAAAGGTTCATTGACTGGGATGGCAGAACCTTTAATAGGTGGGTCCTAGTAGAAAGTAATTAGTTTCTGGGGCTCTACAATCATGAATGGACTAATGCTGTCTCTTGAAAGTGGGTCAGGTTTCCTACAAGAGTGGCTTGTTATAAAAGACCCAGTTTGGTCTTCTTGGGTTTCTTACTTCTTATCCTACCAGGTGACTTCTCTTTTCCTCTTACGCATCTTCCCAAACATGTGTCATCCACCATGTTCTGATGTAGTTGGAGGCCTTCACTAGAGGCCAGCATGATGGAGTTGCCTGAGCTTGGATTTGCCAGTTGCAAACTTATGCGCTAAATAAGCTACTTACATCTACATCTATCTACATCTATGTCTACGTCTGTGTCTCCATCAATCTGTCTTTCAAGTGGCAGGTATGTTTTTGTAGAAACACAAAACAGACTAACACAGGAATTTCCTCAGTGGAGAGAAGGGCATGAAATGGCACAGTAAATTTAGGCATTGCCATCTCAGAATGCCACGAATGACACTTGTTAGTTGGGAATTGAAGTGAATTAGAATTTTTTGTCTGTGTCAGCCTTGGGGAATTTGAAATATGGAAAGTCTAGATATCTACACCATTTATCTATTTTCAGTGTATCAGAAACACTTAAATTCCTCCAAAGGCTTCAAAGAAAGCAACTACGTTGCATTAAGGGATTTCCCAATAGTTTAGAGGCTTGGGTATCTATTCAACTCTTTATTCTGTTGGGATATCCCTATCTAGAGCTAACCAAAAGTCTTAGTTCTTATCCAGTTCTAGGAAACTCCCAGTCAGAGTGATTTCCCATCTTACTCAACGTAGACTCACACTTTCCCATTTTCATCCTTTCAGTTTGCAACCTGTGCCCCTTGAACATGTTCTTTCCCTTGCATGTCTTTATTCTCACACATTTTCAAGGTTCCCCTCCGTCCTGGTCCCCAAGAAGACATACTTTAATGATGACATTTTTCTTCCCCCTGAAATTCAGCCGGTAGATGTCTCCATTACTCTCTCATAGCTAAAGACCAGACCTACTCAGTAAGTAGGTTTCGATCATTTCTTTAATGAACAGTAAGGAAGAGGATTTGATCATTTGCCTAAGAGAATGAGCAGATGCTCAGGAGGACCCATCTCCATCCTACGTCCGTCCCTCCACTGTCAGTCAGGAATGAAAACTCCTTTCTCCCGCTTTTCCAGGCAAAAGAAAAGGCTGGTTTGAACTAAGCATCCAAGACGCCAACACCCTCCGGCTCAGTACGTCCAAGTTTCCTTGCTCTCGGTCACCAAAAAGCTCTGCTTCTCTTCTCACTCCCGCCCACCCCACCCCGAGTTTCCGAGTCATCGGCGAACGCGAGTGGGCGAAAGGACTCCGCGCGGCACGTGCCGCGCCACCGCCTCCTCCTCCGCCTCCTCGGGTTCAGCGCTGGACAGCTCCCGCCCCAGCCCAACAAATGGCCGTCAGCTGATTGACAGAGGCGCCGACCAAACAGGGAACAAGACGACTTGAAGCCGCCCTACAAGGGTTTGGTTGCGGCCAAGCTGCCACTTTAAACTGGTTTCCTCCGAGAGCAGGGAGAGGCGGCAGTGTGGTTTGTGGCTAAACCTAAAGGCTCAGTTAACCAGCTGCCTGGCCTTCAGAGCTCCGCAGAGACAAGCGTCTTGAAAGGAATCTCCGCTCCCTGGGACTCGCTCCTGCGCTGGGGCGCGGGTCTGAGTGCGCGCTCGGAGCCGGAGCTCGGGGCGCAGGGGTCGAGGAGGAGCCAGAAGCCGGGAGGCGGGAGCGACCTGCCACGGGTGAGATGATGGAGCGGCGTCTCGGGCGGCCGCGGTGGCAGCCACAGCCGCAGCAGCAGCCGCTTCAGCAGCTCTTGAACGCACCTCAATGAGAGCGCGGAACGAGAGGCTGAGCAAAAGGACGCGAGCAGGCTCACTGCAGCCGCGGCGAGCGGACGGGGGATGTAACCCGTTCCGCTCACGGCTGCGAGGTGCGTAATCCCGAGCCGACCCATTGTGGAGCGGGTGCAGCCAACATTGCCACAGGTGACTTGATTTCCGGTGACGGCAGCTTAAGCCAGCTGGGCCAATTTCCAAACATTCTTATTTTAATAGTCCTTTTGGGACTGGGTGCCATCTGGAGAAAGGGGGGGGGGAGGCCCCTTACTTAAACAAACAAAAAACTCTTAACTGCAGATACATTGACGACCAAAAATTTAAAAGTGACTCCTCTCGTTTCCTCCTTTCCTCTCCGCGAGACAGATGGGAGCCATGGCTTACCCCTTACTCTTTTGCCTCCTGCTCGCTCATCTGGGACTGGGAGCTGTTGGCGCCAGCCGTGACCCACCGGGACGGCCAGAGTCCCCTCGAGAGAGGACTCTGAGGGGGAAGCAACACGCCCAGCAGCCGGTTCGAGTCTCTGCCCCGGACTCCTCGGCTCTCTGGAGCCGCTCCACCGACGGCACCATCTTGGCGCAGAAACTCGCCGAGGAGGTGCCCGTGGACGTGGCCTCTTACCTCTACACCGGGGACTCCCACCAGCTGAAGCGAGCCAACTGCTCCGGCCGCTACGAGTTGGCGGGCCTGCCGGGGAAGTCGCTAGCCCTCGCCAGCTCCCACCCCTCCCTGCACGGGGCGCTGGACACGCTGACACATGCCACCAACTTCCTCAACATGATGCTGCAGAGCAATAAGTCTCGGGAGCAGAACTTGCAGGATGACCTGGAGTGGTACCAGGCGCTGGTGCGGAGCCTCCTGGAGGGCGAGCCTAGCATCTCCCGTGCGGCCATCACCTTCAGCACCGAGTCTGTCCGCGCCCGCCCCGCAGTTCTTCCTCCAGGCCACGCGCGAGGAGAGTCACATCCTGCTCCAGGACCTGTCCTCTTCCGCACACCACCTGGCCAACGCCACGATGGAGACCGAGTGGTTCCACGGCCTTAGGCGCAAGTGGAGGCCCCACTTACACCGCCGTGGCTCCAATCAGGGGCTCCGGGGCTTGGGCCATAGCTGGAGGCGCAGAGACGGGCTCGGAGGGGACAAGAGCCATGTCAAGTGGTCTCCGCCTTATCTGGAGTGCGAGAACGGGAGTTACAAGCCCGGGTGGCTGGTTACTCTTTCCGCTGCCTTCTACGGGTTGCAGCCTAACCTGGTCCCGGAATTCAGGTAGGAAGAGGGGGAAAAGGGCGAAAGCAACACCGTCGTTCTCCGGTTTTGCGGGTGTGTGTGGCAAAGAACACTTCGCTGCCTGTGACACTTAACATCTCCCGCCCTCAGAGCAGAGCTCTGGGCTGAGGGATGCCCCAAGCGGGCGCTTGTGCTTAGGGCTAAAAGCGCCCTGCATTTGCCAGCTTTAGGCACTCCTAGAACGTCTTTGGATGATGATATCCTTGCAAAGGAGGAGGGAAGTTGGGAGAAAGGGGGGACACTTGGTGGAGATGCTCCATGCTTCCTTCAACCCTCCGGATAACAAGGAGGGGAGCTCCCCATTAGGGGTGGTCACAGAACGTTGGGAGCTTGGGGAGTGCCCCAGTGCTGAGCGTCAAATGAGAGGAGAAGGGGAGCTAAGGAAGAGAGTTACTTGTGCCTGCCACTTTGGGATAGCCTCTGCCCATTTCCTGCAGGTGTAGATTGGGGCACCAGTCTGCTGTTAGTCAGCTACAGAATGTATAATTAAACCTGTGCTATCCCCCTGGGCAGTTCTGGCCACTCAGCAGTGAGTCACTCTCAGCAGAGCTGTCTCCAGGATCCAAACTTGGCAATTTGGTCTGTGTGCTCCTTCTACCCAGCTCCTCCCTTCTTCCCTTGCTTCGTGCCTTCCTTCTCTTGGTCCCTGTGTTAGCCATACCTAGAGGTTTTTCCTCCAGGCCTTCACAAGCTCACACACTTTATAAATGAACCTAGAGTTAACCAGGGAAGGGAGCAATGAGTTCTAAATGAATTCACTCAGGAAGCTTGGAGGAAACAAGCAGTTCTGTATTTCCTTTCTGGAGATACAGTTAAGGCAATTGAGGGAAGCTGAAAACTTGCAAATTAGCAGGTTGTAACTTCTGCCCTGAGAAGTGCCTGACTTTTGTGGTAAGGAACTCTTAGAAGCAGTGTTTAGGAATGGATGCAAGGCTAGGGGTGTAGCCCAAGTGGTAGAGTGCTTAGGCCCCAAGTTCAAACCCTAGTACCACCATGGACAGAAGGAAAAGAAAAGAGTAAAAACTTCAGGGAGGGTTTGGGAGAGGGCTGCAAATTGACTGGTATCCTCCCCAATTCTTGTGGTGGGAGGGTCTGGAAAGAAGGTCTTCGCGGGCCAGACTGAGGTTGCTTCATTATCTTTGGGGGAACCTTGGAAGAAGTGAGAAAACCTTGCATGTGGGTCATTTTGCTTTGGTGCTTTGCTCTGGCACAGCAAAGGCAGGGTACGGACCTGAAGAGAGATAGCTTGTTAAGAACTGGGTGGGAAGTGAGGAAAGTCAGACGGCTTATTTATCTCCATACTGCCATTTCCTGCTGAATGGCCTCAGGCAAGTTACTTAACCTTTCTGGTCCTCAACTATTTCTCTATCAAATGAGACAATTGAACAAGAGAGTCTCTAAGGAATAATACAGTAATAAAATTCTGTAGCTTTTAATGCTGGCAACACCTGAGAAGGCATAAAGTGGAAAACAGCCTCCCTTTTTTGATTCTGCATGACGTGTGTGTGTGTGTGTGTGTGTGTGTGTGTGTGTGGTGTGTGTAGGTGTCTTTTAAAGATTATGTCTTAAAACACAGTAAGTTTCCTACTTTCAGGAGAAGCTCATTTCCTCCAGATTCCTACAGTATCCTATAAGTAAGAGCAGAGCCTGGCTTTGAATCTTTGAAATACTGTTGGATCAGAAAAAGAAAGACCAGCAGCTGGCAGCAAACTGTTTCTGGCCTTTAGACAAGCCTGTTCAGGGACTCTCAGGTCTCAGGGTCTACAACCCTACCTCGTTAACATTTCTCTATGTCAGGCTTTGTGTTAATTGCCTTGCATGCACTATCTTTTTTTTTTTTTCATTTTTCTTTTATTATTCATATGTGCATACAAGGCTTGGTTCATTTCTCCCCCCTGCCCCCACCCCCTCCCTTACCACCCACTCCACCCCCTCCTGCTCCCCTCAATACCCAGCAGAAACTATTTTGCCCTTATTTCTAATTTTGTTGTAGAGAGAGTATAAGCAATAATAGGAAGGAACAAGGGTTTTTGCTGGTTGAGATAAGGATAGCTATACAGGACATTGACTCACATTGATTTCCTGTGCGTGGGTGTTACCTTCTAGGTTAATTCTTTTTGATCTAACCTTTTCTCTAGTACCTGTTCCCCTTTTCCTATTGGCCTCAGTTGCTTTAAGGTATCTGCTTTAGTTTCTCTGCGTTCAGGGCAACAAATGCTAGCTAGTTTTTTAGGTGTCTTACCTATCCTCACCCCTCCTTGTGTGCTCTCCTGTTTTATCATGTGCTCATAGTCCAATCCCCTTGTTGTGTTTGCCCTTGATCTAATGTCCACATATGAGGGAGAACATACGATTTTTGGTCTTTTGGGCCAGGCTAACCTCACTCAGAATGATGTTCTCCAATTCCATCCATTTACCAGCGAATGATAACATTTCGTTCTTCTTCATGGCTGCATAAAATTCCATTGTGTATAGATACACATTTTCTTAATCATTCGTCAGTGCTGGGGCATCTTGGCTGTTTCCATAACTTGGCTATTGTGAATAGTGCCGCAATAAAACATGGATGTGCAGGTGCCTCTGGAGTAACAGTCTTTTGGGTATATCCCAAGAGTGGTATTGCTGGATCAAATGGTAGATCGATGTCCAGCTTTTTAAGTAGCCTCCAAATTTTTTTCCAGAGTGTTGTACTAGTCTACATTCCACCAACAGTGTAAGAGGGTTCCTTTTTCCCCCGCATCCTTGCCAACACCTGTTGTTGGTGGTGTTGCTGATGATGGCTATTCTAACAGGGGTGAGGTGGAATCTTAGCGTGGTTTTTAATTTGCATTTCCTTTATTGCTAGAGATGGTGAGCATTTTTCATGTGTTTTCTGGCCATTTGAATTTCTTCTTTTGAGAAATTTCTGTTTAGTTCATGTGCCCATTTCTTTATTGGTTCATTAGTTTTGGGAGAATTTAGTTTTTTAGTTCCCTGTATATTCTGGTTATCAGTCCTTTGTCTGATGTAAGTTGGCAAATATTTTCTCCCACTCTGTGGGTGTTCTCTTCAGTTTAGAGACCATTTTTTTTTGATGAACGAAGCTTTTTAGTTTTATGAGGTCCCATTTATCTATGCTATCTCTTAGTTGCTGTGCTGCTGGGGTTTCATTGAGAAAGTTCTTACCTATACCTACTAACTGCAGAGTATTTCCTACTCTTTCTTGTATCAACTTAAGAGTTTGGGGTCTGATATTAAGATCCTTGATCCATTTTGAGTTAATCTTGGTATAGGGTGATATACATGGATCTAGTTTCAGTTTTTTGCAGACTGCTAACCAGTTTTCCCAGCAGTTTTTGTTGAAGAGGCTGCTATTTCTCCATCGTATATTTTTAGCTCCTTTGTCAAAGATAAGTTGCTCATAGTTGTGTGGCTTCATATCTGGATCCTCTATTCTGTTCCACTGGTCTTCATGTCTGTTTTTGTGCCAGTACCATTGCATGCACTATCTTGATTAATCCTCATAACAGCCCTACAAGTTGGATTTTATTCTTTTCCCTATTTTAAGGAAAAGGTATCTGAAGTACAGAGGCATTAAACTTCTTCCCTGCTGATTGCACAGCAGTTAAATGATAGAGCCAAGTTTTAAGCCCACTTCATGCTTGTCACGACTATGCTAAACCTTGTTTTATGAAGATGGCCTGAGGTGCTGTGCAGAGAGTAGCTGCTGTGTAATAAAAATGAGTGTCATATGTGGAACTGGGGAGAAAATCCATTTATTTTTCAGAACTGTTTCTCTTAAGGATCAGAAAGTATAAGCTAAGTCAAGGGACTCAGTGCCTTCTGCCAGCCAAGATGAAAGGCTTTGCACACAAAGGGTATGAGGTGGTGAGGAATCACATGTCCCGCATGTGTTCTCTGACTGTGTTCACAAAATAGGTTGCTTTTTAAGTGCTTATGTAGCGATCAGTGGTGTCTTCAGGCAAGGCAGGAAGCCAGACCATTTAGTGTCTGGCTCTGCACAGAGTAATTTACCTGAGACATATTTCCATGGCTCCCTGGACCACTGTACACAACCTACATTGAAACATACCATATTCTTTTCTTCTTTTTTTTTTGAGACAGGGTCTAGTATGTAGCTCAGGCTGGCCTTGAACTCATGATCCTTCTTTCTGTGCCTCCCAAGATGCTGGTTAAGCAGGTAACCAGACCCAACCCAACGATTCTTGTATCTCTATCATCTTTTAGGACAAAACCCCCCATAGAATACAGTTATTGATTTCAAAAGAAGGATTATATTGTTTATTTCACACATTTGAGCTATTTAAATAGGCCTTTTATGTCTCTACATAGTTATTAGAGGAAACAGTTTTTGTTGTTAACGCTTTATCATCTAAGATTTGTATTCTAAATGTATAGGTAAATAAGACTGGACAGGTATTGTGCCAGGGTAAATCTGAAATAAACTTTGGAAACCATGGTTAGGATACCCAATCATGATTTTAAATGGTATTTTGAACATGTAGAGTGATATTTTTAGAAAGTTTTATCTGTAATGAAAAAAATCCATTGATAATGATTTATTTATGAAAGAGAAATAGAGGAAAAACTTTGTAGTTAGAATTTTCATTTAAGATTATAATATCCGCAGACTTGGCTTATAAGATCAAGCATTTAAAAAATATATTATATTTTAGAAAAATGTAAATTCAAAACACAAAATTAAAAGTAATTTGGAGGATATCGGTGGAACTACCTTCCTATATCCACCCATTCTGCACTATAATATCAACTGCGTAAAATTTAAAGTTCTTCTCTGTTTTAGAATGTCACAAATATTCGTCTTAAAATTTTAAAACCTACATAAACACACAAGAGAAGTTTATCGTTATTGTTTCCTTTCAAAAAGTGGCACTAATTTCTCTTGAACTTAATGTTTCATTGAATCTGTTGTTATAGAACCAGCGGTATTAAAACATTTAGTTCTCATTTTCTATCTG